TGGTAACAGCGCGGCAAGGGGCCACCACGAAACTTGTCGATCCGTACAAATTTCAAGGCCGATGCGAGACGTCGCGCGGGTACACGTGCGTCGTCTCTCAAGGCCGTGACAATAGTATGATCTTCGTCGTGTTCCTTGCCCGGGTCCTTGAGCGGTATAGGTGCGAGAAACGCGACTTTTGCGCGCTGATACGGTCTGTCGACGTCTCGCAGTTGTCAGGAAGTTGCATTCAGTTTACTGGAGAAAGGAAGAAGTGTAAAAGCACTGATGCGTGGAAAATGGGGCAATCTCCATGTGGAGATCATTTTCCTACACATTTTACGCTATACGTTGCCGAACAAAATTATTTCTATGAGACAATTTTGAAGAAATGAATAAGTAGATAAGTCACGATAAGTTGAAAGGGAGAGTATTCTGATTTGATTTCATTGAATTTTATATTTCAATGAATTTAATCGCTAGAAATGGTTAGGAATATTGTTTGAAAATTGGAATTGAGTACTCATAGAAATATAATTTATTTGTTATTGTATGTCTTTGGAAAGACTGGCGAGGAAATTATTGGAATTATTAAAAATCGGTAATTGATTCTATTAAAATGATAAAATGATAAAGAAAATTCCATTAAAATGATCCTGTTGTACCGAGTAATGTATCAGAGGCGAACATGTTTTGTGCGCGTGATAAATTGATAACGTTAACACGAAGTCAACATTCGTACGATATTACAGGGAAGATCGACTTTAAGACAATCGTTAAACAAAGGTCCAATAAAAATTTCGTTTAGAACGAGATCGTTTGACCAACCGAGATACATTCGACTTTGGAACACGACTATTCGTAATTAATAAAATCGTAAGAATCATCGAGAACTTTAAACAGTACAAACGTTTATCTCTCGGTTAAAGGAGAAGTTACAAAAGGACAGAGCAGCATAGACTCGTAAGAAACTTCCATTGCGCCTGATAAAACAAATCTCAAATGATGAAACATTTAAATTTAAAGCATGAAATGCAAGAGGATGACTTTGTGTTTCCTATTGTTTGGCACATAATTAAATCGTATTGTACGTATCACTGTGGCACTATACGTGAAACTGTGTTGCAGTGGGATAGTATCGATTACCTGGGCGCAGGATATTTATGGATGTTCTATTATAGCACCGAACGTTAGAATTACGTATGGAACGTTCACGTGTAGTATATAGTTCACGTATAGTATATAGTTTACGTGTAGTATACACCATTCTACGTTGGTGAAAAAAAAAGTGTTCTCTACTAGTGTCATATTTATTTTTATCGTCCTTTTCTGCGATAACACGTGACAGATATTTGAAGCGCGTCGGTGACCGTGTAATTCAGCTGTAAGTGAAATAGATTCGTAAAGATCAGACACGGCGGCAACTGTACGTAATTCGGTAACCAAGTCGCAGTATCTTTATTATACAATGATTGTCAACACAGTCGTTGCGATTACTAATTTTGTCAAATTCACGGACAGTTGCGCTACGATCTATCATAATATAAACAAACTCCTAAGCTAAAAAATAGAATATATAATAGCGTGTTGATCGAAAACACCAGCCATTTTCCTAAATATAATTCTCCTTCCGTCTTCTAACTGGCAATATATCTATTACTATGTAACGAAATCTCGGTTCGTTTCTCGCTAACGCTTATAAACTAATATAGGGGGGACAATTATTTAACGGGAGAAACTAAACGAGTTAATTGACACCAATTAAGACTTCGCCGAAATAAGTGGGATTCTACAACAGTTCGTTCTTCTTCTACGTGTCAAATTGTCTTAAGTAAGTAACACAAATAACTTTCAAACAGCTGCTCCAATTTCCAGTAAAAAAAAAAGGAATAACAAAGCTCGACGATATTCGGTAGCTTCGTCGATAAAATTCTTCTGTAATATGAAACACAGGTAATCCTCGAAAACTTGAAAGAAATTCAGTTTCCATCGAAAATAACGAAACTCGCTATGGTTAAAGTTTCTTGATAAGTATCACGAAACTCAGGCGATTCGTCAAAAAAGTTCTTTCGTAATATACAACGCACGACGCTCAAAGACCTCCTAATAAGAATTACGTAATTGAAAAGATTCGTCGATAAAATTCTTTGCGAATATAAAACGGATATGACCGTCGAGAAATTTCATCCACAAACACAGCAAAGTTCATCGTTCTTAGAGATAGTAGCAACATGTTTTCCTCTTGTACATACGACACGAATAATTCTAGAAAATTGATATAATTTCGTCTAGGGACACTAAAGATCGACTACGAATCACCAAGTTCGAACGATTTGTCAACAAAACTTCTTTCTTCGCGTACAACGCGAATAATCCTGGGAAAATTGATCCAGTCTTTGAAAATAACAAGGTTTATCCCTGTGATTTCGATTGGTTTGGATCGACACGATGGGTAGCGGTCCGCGGAGAGGTCAGAGATGGTAAACGGTGTCGATTATAGACGAGCCTGTTGTGGTGGTGGCAGCGTAGCATGACTGGTAGCCGATATATCTGTATACGTGTCCGTCCCAGCCGCCCGTGACCACGTGGCCTTGTCCTTGTACGACGTCGACGTCGAGCGTTCCGTGCCACCGACACCCGTCGTCGGTCGCCGTGGAACCTTCCTACGAAGAGCCGCGGCGGAGAGAAGAGAGATGTCCCAGCTCAGCTCGCGTGTGCGCCCGAGCTTTTCGCTCTCCACATATAAATGCACACGGCCAATACATGTAGAGGTAGGAATGTGTGCTCGTGAACGCGTTTACGTGGAGCAAAGGCGCCGTTTAACGCGGAATTACGAGGTAATTCGTCTCTTGCCAACCGGCAACTGCGTCACCCGTAACTGTAAATCTTCTACCTATCGATTCGATGCAACCTTGGACAGCGGCTAATTGAGAGGTTTAGAGGAAACGCGGTGCGAGTGATCGAATCTTTAACTCGAGAATGACGCGAGCAAAGGTGAGTTTTTATAGAGGAATCCGTATGTTTTTGGAGGGTAAGCTATTGGGCGTGGAAACTTGTTACCTGTAGGTTAGGCGTAATTTTGAATAGTAGATATTCGAGAAGCTTAATGGGAACGTAAAACGAGCGATAAAACACCCTTCATTCGAGAAGATCGCGGATAAAGTTGCGTTTTAATAGGGAAACCCGGGAATACATTTTTGAAGAATAAAGTAATCCGATGCTTTACACTGTATCGGTTACAACATTACATACTTTCTGACTATTTTGGAATTTTACAAAGCACGACTTGCGCGTGTAACGTCATCCGTAAAGCGAAGCGTAAAAACTCGCATGAAACACAGGAAATCTCGATATCTCGTCACAAATAACGCGTCACGTTTCTCTTGACTACAGCTTGCAGTTGGAATCACCTTTTGCTCGCATTAATCACACAAGTGCAAAGGAACTGTTAACTTTAACCTCGGCGGTAGATTAAATTGTAACTGACGTTTTCCTTAAAAGAAAGAATACCAGTCTTATAGCTGCTAAAATATAAGCTTCAAAATTACCAAGCATTTTGTACTTACACGTGTGTTTTATCAGAAGATACCCAGAACATGTAAAACACGCGTCCCGCAATACATACAAATTTACAACATACACGAAGCTTGTGTGCAACTGTAATTAGTAGCCTGGTAACTTCACGAGTTTCGTATACCGATTTAATCAACCATAAGAAATATATTGCTGAAAATTATTGACACGCGTAATCGTGTTTATCATTATCGATCGCGTCATCATTCTCGATTGGCTCGCCCTCGCCTTTCGATTGCATTTCAAAATCTAACATTATTCATATTCTTACACAACGAACATGTTAAAACGAGATTATGAAATTTTTAATTCAAAGCTGACACGGAATAAATGGTTCAGGGTTACTCTTCTCTGATAGATTCTCTCTTAAACAATAAACGAAGGAGAATAACGTGACTTAATATAAGTTATATTCTCTGTTTTTCACGAAGAAACAATTTTTTAATCGCGCACGCTAACGTCAATCGATTCTGTATTATTTTTATTTAAAAAATTTTTATTTAAATTTTATTTAATTTTTCGAATTGCAGGATTCGACAGATTCAATACAAATTTCCGTGGATTTATTAATTATTTCTGAAAGATTTATATCTTCCTATCTCTACCATCAGACGGCTCGTATATGCATTATAATAATTATATCAAATTAAATATACATAACACTTTATTGGCACTTTACTTCCTTAGAACGCAATTAATCCGAAATATATGCATCTAGAAATAACTGGATGATTCTAAAGCAAATTTTATCTGAAATAGTCGACGCGTTGTGAATTTATTCTTTTACGAGCTTTGCTTCCACGTGTACGTACGTATATACGAGAGGAACGTGTGTATATATTCTGATAGAAAAAAAACGTTGTAAAAACTATATAAGAATAAAAATAAAAAAACACAGCCGATCCTGAGAGTTTTATATTTCACGTAAATTAAAATCATATATCTCCCGTAACATCCCTTATATCAGATTTCCCTCGGTATAGGTTAACATTCGTTTGAAATACTCTTTTCATTGGCCATCAATCTTGAAGATATCGTGGAAAGATTGAAATAAAACCCCTTGTATACCGTTTCTATTCATGAATCTGAAATGTAAACGTCGGTATTGCGTTCGCATTTTGTGCAAAATTATCCGGAAGAACTGATACCGCGTGTCGCGAATAGGAGAAGATCGCTATCGCGTCATCGCATCTCGCATAACATTATGCAATTTGATTAAAAACTCTTCGAAAACGAGGACTGGGCGATTCTCGACGAGAAGTAGAGTAGTAGAGATCTTCTGCTGATCCGTGGATTTTCGCTGACGGTTTACGATGATCCAGCAGTCGTGTGTTGCGACGCTGATCAGGCAAAATACTATGAGGCAGATTAGTTTCATAGCTGTAATTTCTGGTCGAAGAGAGGGGAAATAGGAATTGTCAGAATTACTGGTTATTACTACTGTTTATCTCTTGTTGTTTTTCATAATTATTCTATGATACTTGTTACTTATTATATTTATTAAAATACGTACTACTTGTTTACTGTTACTTACTAACATATTATAATGTAGCTTTTTATACTTTCATTTTTTTATTCTTCGTGTCATTACATTGAAAGATCAACAACGGAACTGTAAAATTGTATAAGTATTTAATATTTTTAATGAAACAAAAACTAACTAAAATATGCAATTTCCTCTGATTCCAAGATTATGTAATACCAAACAGTTTTGTATTATTTAAATACAGGTATGATTAAATAAAATTTTCTAATCTCCTAGAAAATTACTTCTTTCGCGGTTATGTCACTATTCTTCCGGGACAACAGTTTGTGAATAATATAATCACGTTACATAAAACTAAGCTAAAACGGGAATAGAATATTTTCGATTCGTTGTTTCCACTTCGTCGAAGGATCACTGAAAATACTACGCTACTCGCAAGCCAAATCTGAAGAAATCAACGCCAAATTATTCTTGACCTACGCCACGGCGCACCTATACAATAAATCCAAATATAGAATAAGAGTAAGATACAGTAATCGATCCAATGAACAACAATCGATCGTGACTCGATCCATGAAACTCCTAAGAAGAGTTTAATGTTTATCCTGTGTGTCAATTTCATGGTTCGATCAATTTCCCATACGATAGCTTCGTTATTTGTAACGCGACACGAACAATTTAACACTGAACGTACAGAAATTTCATTTCTTCTGTTTCTGATAGAATAATTCGTAACCATCGCATTAACTTTCATTAGGAAAGTAAATTATTGTTTTATCGAGTTACAGAACGCGCGTAAGGATACTAGACACATCACGGAACCGCATTACATAAACCGGAGGCACAAGAACAATTTCTATAATTTGGAAAAAATCATTTGTCACAGTATCGTCGAATACTGCAGTTTCTCTTTCATTTCATCGAATTGCGAGATCCGCGCGGAGGAAAATAAACTATAACAGATATTGACCAAATTTCTGAAATTCCCCTTCGCGATTACGATGGAAACCCGATGGCAAACTGTAAATTGGCTGAACGAAACGATTAAATGAAAATTTGCGTTAACGCGACGTAAATCTAACATAGTCTAATTAAGAAACGTATCTACAATTATTCCTACGATAAAAAGAGTTCCCTTAATCCTCTAAACCTAACTCGACCACTCAGCAAAAAACCTACCGACGCAATTGTCCCGATCGGAAATAATAAATTCCCCATATCTTGGCGTCTGTCTTGGTATCGTTGAGTCACCGCACTTGCACAAAGCTTCGAAACCGACGCTACGTTTCATCTTCTCTCGATATAAGAAACTATCTCTAAAGAAAGAACCTAAGAAGCAGACGGAAACAACAAGAAGCCTTGAGAGGGGGCAGAGAAAACGGAACTCGTCTCCGCCACCGTGTTGGACACGTGACACGGATTTCGAGATCGGAGGATGGCCGGTCGACGTGGCATATACGACGAAAGCACGCGATGCATCTAAACCGGGAACACGTGAGAACCAGTTCGGATCCAGTTCCCCCGGCTGCAGTTGCACCGGCTGGCGG